TGAGCACCGAGTATACAGCCGAATGACTCTTCCTGTGTTCTAAATGTGCATACATGTGTAGTAACAGTACTCATATTGGCACTCTTCCCAAGCAGTGTGAGCGCATGCACATGGAACGTTACTTACTCACCTCCACATGTGTGTATTATATACCAGTGATTCACTGCCTGAACAGTGATCACTAACAGTATGTTACAGCAGGGCTAGTAGCTAGCTATTCAAAGCAAACGCCGAGGAGGGCAGGGCGGCTGCGAGTGAAATGGAGGGGACAGACTCCGCAGGTGTTATGCACAGGTTACAATGAGTCACGCAATGGAAGTTAGGTTATGTCTAAAGGTGTTGAACAACAGTAGAGGGCGTCCATAGACTGCAGGCCTGAATAAGCATCGAACATTAATTAATTAAAAATACGCACGCTGTTACTGCGCTTACAAAACATACACTTTATTCATGTTAAATAACTACAGATTCGTGCTCTATGCTCCGCTCAAAACTTTTGCCAGCTATATGATGCGAATTTCTACAGAGTACTTAGTCGGATCCCGTTTCATACACAAAAATGGCCGACCGGCGACCATGCCTACGCCACTAGCTGGAATGGCACAATTACACAACACGAATAATTTTACTTCTAATGCTTTCTAGACGTCCACGAGGCATCTACCTTGCGTGCATAATGCAAATTATTGCACTCTAGTGCCGAATTTCGGCGAAAAAAAATGCCAAAAAAGGCCTTTTCTAGAGACGAAATAGTGCAACGGTGAACAATTGCGGATGCTTACTGTTGTACACCTCCTAAAGATATCTCTCCCCTCCCATCAGGTGGCCATGATTGTAATTTCTACCATAGTACAGTGTAGTCAGTAGCATCCACTAAACACCCAAAATAAAATATGTAAATATTCAATTTCTAAGACCACAGCCATAAAACAACCACAGCCACTGCATGATTTAAATATGCCTAATCTTGCAATACAATGTATTACAAATATTTACTGTGAGCATCGTTGCATTATTACAAAACTAGGAAATGCCCTCAGAAATCTGCAGTAAATTTTTTTTTTTTTAATCTGATCTCGAAATTAAAATTTTATCTCGACACCCAAAGGAAAGACAGATACAGTCAAACCTTGCAGGGAAAGTTAAGGAAATCGTTTATTGTCCTTTATATACAGCTGTCCATTCTATGGATGTTTATAACCATCAGTTAATGGAAACAGAAAGTATAATTTATAAACTGGTAACCACTCTAACTTCTATAGTCTATTGAATTTGAATACAGAGGTGGTTTCGCTATATAACTGCGACTCAAGGCAAATGTTAAATGTCCGTTATAGACACGTGTCCAATCTATGGTTGCCACCTAACCAGTTCTACCGCTAGCGTTCGCCACCTTCGCAAAATGCGATATATAAATAACAGTGGAGATTTTACTATATTTTACAATTGAATTGGCGAATGATTTAAAGTAATTTATTATGAGAGTTTTCCAGTGTTTTCACCACTTTCATGATACCTACCGTTATTGCTTGAGTAACAGCAATTGTCTAGAGTAACGATAAAATGCCTTAGAACCTTCTTATTCACCAAAACATGCAATTTTCGAACTAGTTTGGTAAACAATCGTTTGCTGTAATCATGAAACTAGAGCCGGTAGTATTGGACTAGCTAGCAGCACCGCCGCCTATCTGCCATAGACATACACTACAGTCTCTCTCAAATGCAGTTGTGTTCGAATTAATCACTGACAAATTACAAGTTTACCAATTCTGCCATTATCGCGACATGATAAAATGCATTGCTGTTACGATGTGTTCATATCCATTAAATCCACTTTTAAAAAATCTTAGTGTTTTTAATGAGCTGGTGTAATCCGTGATATATCCGCTGTGAGGTGAAGACTATATTTCGCTATATTTTTTGGGGTTCCTGAGCAAAACTCTCGTAATAATAACTTTAACTGCTCACAAAGTTGCGATTGAATAATAAAATCGTCGTGCATTGTCGTGTAAGCACTAACAAATTCCGGAACCAAGTCATATTTTAAACTTACCTTTAAATAAAACAACCTAATTTTGTGTAGACTAGACTACATTATTTTATTATTACTTGATTAAAAATGTCTTCGTACACCACTTTTCCTATACCCAATCACCTGTTTATGCCTTCGTATATATGATAAAGTGAACAGTGGCTATATAGTTTTTCATTGGTAACTAAAAAATAACTTTGGTGGATGAAAAACAAACAGTACTAACAGTAACACATCTTTTAATACTGTTTCAACTGAATTATTGTTATTGAATTAAAAAAGCACATAACAATGACATTAACAATATCACCTAGACTTACGGCAGGACTGCCAACTCTCACGCATTTGGCGTGAGACTCACACAATTGATGCTAATCTCCTGCTCTCACTCTGGGTCTGCTAATTCTCACGCGCACAGAAACAAACAGAAACGTTTTGAGCCATCCATGGCATATATATATACGGATCATATATATATACATGTACCTAACCCATCTAAAATAAAAACTAGTGTATTGGCATTGCATTACATACATGTGTATGTTTAAAAACTCACTTAATAAGTATGCACCCACCAGAATGCACAATTTCAAGCTGGAAATGCAGAAGCTCCCTAGTCAGTGTGGAAAGGGGGGTGGGGGGGTCACCCCACACTCTCTCCCCGCTCGGTCGCTCCGTTCCCTCACATAATCTCACTCTCAACTCTAACTTAATGTTGGCCTAAGGTTTACATTAAACTGCGACTAACCATGACATGACCTGGATTGACAACTACTAGTGCTGACAATTACAGTGACAATCA